GGAAGACCTCTACCCCCCCCCCAAGGCGGTTTCACACGATATTCTGCCGAAACTCCGGGTCTGTGTTCCTCTGGGGGCTCAGCGCTGTGCGAGGAGGATCGCAGGAGTCTGCCTTTGTACAAAACGGTTTGTATCTCATCTGCTTAAAGACCTGCCCGTGACAATGTGAGGTGTGAAGAGGACCTGAATCGCAAAAGCTGCCCCGGGTCCTTGGTAAACACGTGGTGTGTGCATGTGTGTGTGTTTCTCCTGTCTTGGTGTGCAAGAGCGTGATGTTTTTAATCGTGGCGTTGGAGCAACACGCCTCCCCAGAAGAACAAAGTTGGTGCTCAGTTTCAGTTAAAGAAATTATCCGTATCTCACCGGCCTGTTTGCCGCCCTCTAGTTGTGAACACTTTTGAGAGGAAGAAGGAACATCTGGAAAGAGGAGGACTTTTAAGAAATGGGTCAGACTGTGCACAGAAGGGAAGGGGGTGCAAGCTTCTCCCTCTACCCCGGCCTTCAAGAAAGGGCAGCCTGTGCACAGCTGCAGAAACGGAAGGGGACAGTCTCCTTGCTGCCGCACTGATGCAAAGGCGACCTGCTGCCGGTGAATGTTTGAGAACAGAAGGGGAAGGCTCCTCTCCGCCGGGCTGCCACAAGTTGGACGATCTCGGTGGCGCGGTGCGGCTGGCAAAGGAAAAAAGGAGAGACGTTGCCGGGCGCCGAAAGCAGGTGGCTCGCATTGTGCTGTTGCTCCGCGGCTGTGTCCGGTCGAGGCGGCCCGAAGCCCTCCGTGGCCCCCCAGAAGGGCGCCCGTCCGGCTCCGTTTCCGCTCGCCGGGGCTCGGCTGCCCCGGCCTCTGTCTTTCCCTCTCCCGGAAGAGAGACGCTGTAAATCGTTGTGTTTCTACGGACGTTTGCATTAAAGAGAGTTGTGCCGTGTCCGCTGCTGCTGCGGGTCCTTGTCCGGGGGCGTCGCTGCGGCCGTCCCAAAGCGCGCTCCGCGGGGGGCTTTTCCTGCGCAGTTGTTTCGGGGGGTGG